AAAGATATTGTCCTTGTACATGCATGAACATACATTTAAAAGAAATATCGTCATGGACTTCCTGTTGAAAGGGTTTGTGTCCTCTAAATCACGTGGCAAATACACATAAATCAGATCAGCATCCCTAGATATGACCATATGCTACTCGTATTTTTATACTTGAAATGGAAATTCTCGTTTTTATCTCTCTCTAAAATACATTGTAATAACTTATTACCTTCTTCATTATCTGTTTAACAAGCGATGATGGATGAATGAATTGCACACACTCTTTTAATATTTGGGGATGTTGATATACCATTAAATGGGCGATATTACTCTTACCAACAGATATACTGGCATAACAAGACTGTTTTTATTTTAGCTTAGTTTAAAAATTGCGCAAACAAGTCAAAGTACTTGATGGACTTAATTGATTGAACATTAATGGCAACCCCTGTAGGATTCTATCTAGCGGGATCTTAAAATTACCATCTCTATAGGCCATTAAATAACAAAACATGTTTACGTGATTTTAAAATACAATCTATAATCATACTTTAGAAATGGAGAACGTATCTATCTACTCAATCTTTTTGTCTCTTGCAGATGAACTGGATGTACCACAAGCACACCTTCATTTGCATGCCTACTTTCAGGAGAATAAAGGTGTATATATGATAATGAAATACTGTCTTGTGAACAAATATTGTATTTTAAAGTTAATTTGTCTATGAAGAAAGGTCTGTTATATCAATAATAATTATGTAGATAGTATTTAGTATCAAACATGACAAGAAACCATGAAATAGTTACATGTATACATATATGTAGGTGGTGATGGTGTGAGATAAACGGCCGAATTTGCATATATGAGCCGCGTCACGACAAAACCAACATAATGGGTTTGCGACCAGCTTGATCCAGACCAGCCTGCGCATCCGCGCATTCTGATCAGGATCCATGCTGTTCGCTATCAGTTTCTCTACTTGTAATAGAGTCGGTAAGCGAACAGCATTGATCCTGATCAGACTGCGCGGATGCGCAGGCTGGTCTGGATCCATGCTGGTCGCAAACGCACAATGTTGGTTTTGTCGTGACGCGGCTCAATTGTTCTTAAACAACATATTCTTATTTATCGTATAAATGAGTCAATGACCATAATACATCATTTAGTTATGATACATCACTTAGAACTTTATTAACATTTTTTTTCTTCAAAAATTATTTTATAAGAATATCCATAATTATGATACATTTCTATTGTTTTATCAATAATTGAACTAATTTTGAGGAATGTGCATGTCCATTGTAGACCTATCCACTTTGGGTTCTTCTAAATTACGTTGGTTTCAAAATTATGTAGAAACAATTTGTTAATGAAGAGCCACTGATAGAAGTGAATGTGTTGTATTATTATTTTTAACCTCTTATTTTTTCTTCACAGTTCTATATTACCTGGTATCGCTAGTATATCTTGCGATATTTATACATGTGCGCTGGTAATATCTATCAAGCAATCAGTTTCATAATTTTAAACACATTCAATATGTCTATATAAACGTGCTTATAATCACTATCAATGCAAACAGCAAAATAGATCTTAGCTAATAATTGGCATTACGAGAGATTTGCTAAGTGTATTGTATGTACATAAAACAAGTAAAAACGTTTAACATAATTACTTATTGCCTTACATTTGTTATCCAATGGTACCGATAAAAGAACATGTCGCCTTTTCTGTGCTTCATAATAATGTCGGCCAAATATATCAGCATATGTTTTAACAGAAGACGATAATATCAACGCGTAATTACTATAAGCTGTAGCACTATGCGTTATATGTTATCTCTAAAAAAGTTGAACGGAGCAGTGATTTGTCAGAAAATATGAAAAGTATGCAAAATAATATGTCCTTATACTATTTTTTTTTATAATTGTGCCTTTAGGTTCAGATGTTGTGACGTTAACGTTATATTGCGGTATTAATAATCGAAATATATTTGAGACGCATCACGACAAAACCAACAAAATGGGTTTGCGACCAGCATGGATCCAGACCAGCCTGCGCATCCGCGCAGTCTGATCAGGATCCATGCTGTTCGCTTACAAACCCTACAACAAGTAGAGAAACTGATAGCGAACAACATGGATCCTGATCAGACTGCGCGGATGCACAGGCTGGTCTGGATCCATGCCGGTAGCAAACCCATTATGTTTGTTTTGTCGTGACGCGGCTCATTTATTTTATCTTGATGAAATCATAATTGAAATACGAATAGTGATGTTAATAATTTTCATTTGAGTAGGTGGCAATCGCGCGAAAGCACTTTACGTTTGGGAATTTTGTTTTTTTCCACTCCTATTTTCTTATATTAGTCAGATTGCGTTACATGGGTGAAATACAGTCTTATTAAAACTTTCATCAAATAAGACTCTCTCTCTCTATATATAAACATATCCTGACAAATATTATTTTACAAAGTTTCAAGAGTTTATTTCAGAATACAACTGGGCAATATACCCATGCGTACACAGTACGTATAACAAATAATCATATAATATAGTCAAATGGTCAATGTCAAGACCTTATTAAACATATTCCATTTATATATCGTACATGTTATATGGTTTTCTCCCTTTTAATTAAGTAATTGACCAAGCTAGTGTGTTTGAATCAACAATTACACGACGACGTTTTTTCTATTTCAAAATATTTTCAAATTTATTTCATTGATAACACACCTTAATAGAATGAAATAAATTTTGTCATCGCACGTAATTCGATGTTGCAGAACTTGTGAGAAACTGATAATCTTACAGATCAATCATTGGATAGTACATCAATTTATATAAAATCAATAATACTGGTGTTATTTCCATGATTATTACGTAATAGATATAAATTAGCCTGAAAGACACGTCAACATGTAAATTGATAAAGATTGATAATTGGCATACATATATAATGAACTGGCAACAGTTATTTATGCAATTGCAGAAAGTTTATCAAAGCGACAATACATCAACAACTCGATGTTTGGTTTATACTATTAAAGCTTTCGCTACGATATTTAACCAAACCGGATGGTTGTATCAAATGGTGATTAAACTTAAACAAATTTAAAGCAATGTTATATCCTTGTACAAGAGGTAAAACAACTCAAATTTATTCAATTTCAGATTTCTTCTTTTACCTTGAAAGAATTTAGTAAAATTAAAATCTATATCTTTAAATACTTTTAAGGTTCAATCAATATTTGCAAAGTTGAAGTCAATTACAATTCAGCAAAAAGATAACAACATTTCCTGTCTCTTCATTAGCTCGACTATTCGATAAGAATAAGTAGAGCTATTGTAGTCACCCGAGCGTCGGCGTCGGCGTCGGCGTAACCACTTATGTTAAAGTTTTTGTAATAGTTCAAATATTTTCAAAGTCCATTGACATATGGCTTTGAAACTTTGCACACTTGGTCACCATCATGACCCCAACCTGTAGACAGGAGGAGGTAACTCTATCAAGCATTTTGACAGAATTATGCCCCTTTTTCAACTTAGAATTTATGTTAAAGTTTGTGTAATAGTTCAAATATTTTCAAAGTCCATTGACATATGGCTTTGAAACTTTGTACACTTGTTCACCATCATGACCCCCACCTGTAGACAGGAGGAGGTAACTGTATCAAGCATTTTGACAGAATTATGCCCCTTTTTCGACTTAGAATTTACGTTAAAGTTTTTTTAATAGTTCAAATATTTTCAAAGTCCATTGACATATGGCTTTGAAACTTTGCACACTTGTTCACCATCATGACCCCCACCTGTAGACAGGAGGAAGTAACTGTATCAAGCATTTTGAAAGAATTATGCCCCTTTTTCGACTTAGAATTTACGTTAAAGTTTTTGTAATAGTTCAAATATTTTCAAAGTCCATTGACATATGGCTTTGAAACTTTGCACACTTGTTCACCATCATGACACCAACCTGTAGACAGGAGGAGGTAACTGTATCAAGCATTTTGACAGAATTATGCCCCTTTTTCGACTTAGAATTTACGTTAAAGTTTTTTGTAATACCTCAAATATTTTCAAAGTCCATTGACATATGGCTTTGAAACTTTGCATACTTGTTCACCATCATGTCACCAACCTGTAAACAGGAGTAGGTAACTCTATCAAGCATTATTTTTTACTATCAAGCACTAGAATAGTCGAGCGTTGCTGTCCTACCGACAGCTCTTGTTTTTTTATAATAATTACACTTGTGTATCTTTTAAAAAAAATATTAATTTATTGAGACAAATAAAGTAAAGATTGCGACATTAGGATATAAAAATAATAGGAAAAGATAGTCATACTGTTCCTTTGTTTTAATTGTTTCCGAGGGATCTCCTATTCCAGAATTTTGAAAAATAGTAAAAAGAATTCCAATATGGAATGTTGAAGCAATAAAACGGATTACTGAATTAATATCTGAATACTGCAATACTAAATTGTAAAATAAAGTTCCAAACAAAAGCCATGTTTACATACAAAGCGTTTGCTTTCACTAATCTTTATACATGTTGTTCATTAAACATTCAAATGTTTATAGAAGTCAATCTAGGATAACCTCGCTGATATGAAATGAGCCGCGTCATGACAAAACCAACATAAAGGGTTTGCGACCAGCATGGATCTTGGATAACCTCGCTGATATGAAATAAAGTCTATTATGCTTTGTTCACACATGTTTTACATAGGCAATGATGTAATAAAGTTGTAAAAATACATTTACAAAAAATCGTTTGTCAGTTCGTTAACATTGTAAGATTTGTCATGAATTTCGATGTCGTCAATGCTATAGATTTCAAATAGTTCGTCTGCAGCAAGTGCCCTATGCATATCAGTTGTACATTTTATGATCAACAGAAAAATCGTTAAAATCACTTTTATTTATATTAACGAATAAACAACCCGATGCTGTTTGTATTGTGCCTTTATTCCAACCGGAAGAAATCCGAATGATTAAATCACTGTTTTTATGTAAAAGATGAGTCTTCATTTTTCACACCATTTTCAATTTGATGCGTCATATCACTGGCTATTTTCAATGCGTCATTTGGATGCAGACTATTATTGGAAAGTCTTGTTACACCTGTCTGGTTTTCTGAATTAAGCTTTTCAACATTTGTTTTTACCTGATCATTTGAGTTAGACAAATTATTTACAGTAAAAATGGCAGATTGTCTTGGTGATGGTGTTGCAGACGGAGTGTCAAATCTTGTGCGTGAATAATTAGAGTGTGTCGCAAGATTCATGATAGTTGCTTCGTTTCCTTTTCTCCATGAACAAAATATTACGATGACTTCCTGTCTAAATTTTGTTCCACTGAGACAATACAGAAAAAAATTGAGGGAATTGTTCACATACATTAGCATATTGACGATTGCCCACCAAAAATCTAGTTGTGCATGTTTATGCAAGCTAGCATTTTCTGACCAGTAGGGATATCCGATATTGTAGATACTGACAGGGGATGTGCTCAACAGAAAGACAACGTTCAAAGTAAAAAGCATGGCAGTCATCGATGACTGTTTATTGTTATGTCCAGAGGTAGTCGCTTGTCTGTTTCCATTCTGAGCTGAAGGCACAACACGTGATTTAACTTTCCTTTGGCTTTTTAATACCTTGAATAAAATCAAAGCATTTCCTATAACAATAACTGTGAACGGAATAAGACAAAATACACATAAATCGATCCACGGCCATATAACATTGAAAAAACTACGATAATCTGCGTTGATTTCAATACATTTTAAGTCATCTAGTTCTGTGGTAGTGTCTCGGAACACCATTCCATAAAGCATATGAGAATTGAGGAGAAGAATAAACACTATAACAGCTATCAGCAAAGCTACTGCATACTTTTTTGTACACAAAGATTTTGCTTTGTGCGGTAACCATGCTGATATAACTCTTTCCAGTGTCACAACAATCAAAATCCAAGCTGAAAAATCCAGAGAACTGTACACCATCCAGATATTTAATTTACATCCGAACTCGCTGATTGTTCTTACATCAACTTCAAACAGATGTATCAACCACTGTCGTAAAAGTCCAGTATATAACACAAATAAATCCGAGAATGCAAGAACTGTAAGAAACAAAGCCGTTGTTGAAGATCGGATACATCTGCGTGTTAAAACAAGGATTGATAGACAGTTTCCAACAGTGCCTAATATTATTAGAATAGGTGGAACAATTTTCCATATCAGTTCTCCCGCTTTGAATTCCATAAACGTTGTTATGTCCTCATGATTTTCGAAAGAAGCATTTGCCATCACAAGTCCTTTTGCTTTTTTTGTCCTTTTTATAGATATTTCTTTTCCAAGTTTCGTGTCTCTTTTCCTATATCTACGGAAATACAACTTATCGTTATCAAGAGCGAGCCTTTATAACCACATGTATTCCCACACAACTGTATCAGATTCACACATACCGGTCAGTTTTCAAAAGGCTTGTATCTCATTAGCTATTTGTAATGATTTGCTTTATTATGAAAATGTTTCGGTATTATTTGATATATACATGACGTCCATTTATTTAAAATGTATACCAATTTGTATCACGATTAAAGTGCGAAACGACACGAAAACATGTTGTTGTTGATGTTGTTGTAAAAATATTAGTTCTTAAATATTTTTCATAAATGTGAATCAATTAACGAATATCGTCTCTGTGGGTGGTATGTTTTATTTGGCTTTCCATCAATAACAAGCATACAATGATCTATCAAGGAGAGGAATTGGATCTCGCATATTATTACTTTAGATCAGTACGGAGGTGTTTTCAAAACAAGCACATCACTTCATGGAATAACTGTCTGCAATGATATTTATAAACATAGAATATCCATCAGGTCCAAACTTCAACAAACGTTCTGAATAAGATGTTTGGCATTACATGTCTGTACAGCGAATTTTGCGTTTATTCCCAAAAATGGCTAGCTTCATAGTTAAAACAGCGTGTATTTTTCTGAAATAACAATATATATTTTTTTAAGTAAAATATGGAATCAAAATACATAAAGGCATAGACAAATAAACATCTACGAAATATGTACCCTAGCGTAAATAACGGAAATAAATGCTTACTTATCATTACGGTGGCATTTCTTACCTAGATATTCAGAGTAGATCTACAAGTATACATAAATATGTATCTCTACATATAAGATCCTGATATGAACATTTCACTTTCATTCATTTTTTAGCGTCATTTTAAAACCTGCAAATATATCATTATTGATCAGAATAAAGCATCATTAAAGCAGCATGCCTCCAGATTCATGGTAATTGTAATGAATATTTTTTCAGTTGTATTCAAAAAAGTAAAATATTGTCAAAAGATTGCAAACGGCACTTAAAAGGTACGAAATTGCTATTAATAGGTGAAATAGCAAAAATAGCACTTACTGCGGTATACATGCAGTAGAATTATGGTGATAAATACTGCAATATCAGTCATTTATTGCATATAACATGCAAAATACTTATTGAATTGTGGATAATTTTACTTTTCTTAAATCTTAGTAAATTTTTCTCAAGGTTGATTTTCTTGAAATATTTTGGCTGCTCATCTAGAGGCATGTAACTTTAAATACGTTTTGTACGTATGGCATTCCTTTCACAGTATCAAGAACTAAAAAAGTTATTATTTGGATGGCAAGAAACTGTAAAAAAAGAAATATTTCCATACAAATATAACAAATATGACGATTCAACTTCAATTACATAAAAGAATTACAATACACTAGAATTATTAATATTATTAAAATTTGACATATAACTTCACAGGTTTAGCGTTCTTCTATAAACGAATTGCAACTTGTTTTTTTATTTTAATTACTCTTAGGATTACTTAGAACATTGGCTAACTGTATCAGTAAATACTTACGACATCGCTGATTAAGTGTTGACTTACGAGATATCTAAAGATTTTAAAGGTAAGTTGTTGATACAGGTAAAATATTATAAAATAAGTTGTTCTATTTTTTCAGGCCTAAATAAGTGTAATCAGCAAAGGGCATATCAATCTATTTTTTCTGACTTGACAAATTGTATTTCCTTAATTATTAAAACACAATATCACTCTCTAATTGTTAAAACATTTAATCATCAACTAGATCATTAATTACATTGTGTCTACTTTTTGTCTAATGTCTAAAAGGTACATTTTACATGGATATTTTGTAACAATCAAAGTAGTCAATATTCCGGCCGATTTTCGCATCCAAATGTAGACTATCCATAACATCTGCTAATAGAAAGATTTTTGTTAAGATACCTATAAATTCTTTAAAGAAGCTCGAATAATGTTAGCATTTATTGGGTCTATTTCAATATAATCTGTGAGATCACTGACTTTGATAACAAGTTAACATGCAAAATCCATTAATCTTAAATGATAGGTAAATAAACTAGGAAAAATGTAAGGTCATAATTATTACTTAACAGTGTTAAGTAACAGACTTTATTTCATGGACGACCCCTTCTTTGAATTTGAAGCAATCCATTCAAAATTTAGAGAATTTTAATATCAAAATACAAAAATTGAGCTACCAATAGCATATAGTTTAGTCAGACTTTTCAGCTCCAGCAGGCTTAATGTTATAAATAGTTTCTTTGAAAATCAATACCTTTCATTAGCATTTCATTTAACTGTGAATAGTAAGCAATAGCTGGTAAAATTTTACACCTGTACCAAGAGGTAAGCAAAAGGTCAAACATTGGGCAAAGAACTACTTGTATGATAACAGTTAGATATCACTTTTTTGTAGCAATCGGCTGATGGTTAATCTAAACAACTGTTCAAACGGAATGTGTTTTGATTAGTGATTAAGTTGTAAACGTGTCTTTAGTTTCAGGAAGTTTTGGGGAAACCTCTTATTCTTAAGGATATAAAGCTATACAGTATACTAAGCACCAACTATTTTCTCACTATTTATTTTGAAAAGTATGGTCGAATATTAGTTAATTCAAATTTATTTTAGTTCCATTGTGTCGGAAGCTATAAGCTTAATGAAAGTTCCTGGAACCAAACATTATTGTAACCAAAGAGTGTCTAAGAAACATCTGTTTGCCCCCGACAGGGGTTGAATATTTCCTTGTATCCTGATAATAACAGTAAGTGTGACCTATGCTGAAAATATCAGCTAAACCTATTAAAATACTAAAAAGCAATAATTGAATATTTTGCTTGGGAATGTTTTCTCCCATTTTCAATAGGTACAGTTTTTGCTAAAACTTTCTCTAAATATGATCATAAGATTATGAATTTTGCCTTGTACAGTTCCTGCATTTTTATTAAAAGTTTTTTTAAGAGATTTTTTCAACCAATACCAAAGAACAATTACACGCGTCTTACCGATAAAAATGAGCCGTGTCACGACAAAACCAGCATAGTGGGTCTGATCAGGATCCATGCTGTTCGCTATATGTTTCTTTACTTGTTATAGGGTCTGTAAGCGAACAGCATGGATCCTGATCAGACTGCGCGGATGCGCAGTCTGGTCTGGATCCATGCTGGTCGCAAACACATTATGTTGGTTTTGTCGTGACGCGGCTCAAATGTATTAATGAAGTTTCTGTACATATTCTGTTAACAAATCTTAACTAAGACCCCCTGGGGATTTTATGTTAATTAATAGTTACGTAAAATTATTATTCTCATATTTGTGTCCTTATCTGGCCTAATATTTCAACTAGTTTGATATGTAGAATTAAATATGATAATTGAATCTTAGTAAGTTAGCCATCACATACGCATCTAGGATCATAACAAAGTGGTTGATATAAAGTAGATCCATTAATAATGACAACTACAGGTTCATTTACTATTCAAAAGGCCCTGTGAAATAATTTAAGTTCAAGTTTACTGGCAAACTGGCTATTTTCCACGTACATAATATGTAATACATTTAACATTAATGTAATTATAAACATGTATATAATTGTAAAGTAAAAAAAAATTAAAACAAACAAAAAAAATACAAATCAATAAACTTCAAAAAAAGATATTAGCAAAGAAGCCAGGTATTTCAAATAGTTTTCTACGTTTCATAGACTCATATATCTACGTAGGTTTTTCCCAAACGCCAATGACAAATTTTATAGTCGCCATTTTGTTATAATTCACATATGAGCCGCATCATGACAAAACCAACATAGTGCGTTTGCGACCAGCATGGATCCAGACCAGCCTGCGCATCCGCGCAGTCTGATCAGGATCCATGCTGTTCGCTATCAGTTTCTCTACTTGTAATAGGGTTTGTAAGCGAACAGCATGGATCCTGATCAGACTGCGCGGATGCGCAGGCTGGTCTGGATCCATGCTGGTCTCAAACGCATTACGTTGGTTTTGTCATGACGTGGCTCATATAATTATTATCTATTAATTGATCATTTTAAATAACATTAAGTCAGTTATAGAAAAATTTACATTCATGTTTACTTTCATGTCATTGTATTTTTCATGTAATTGTAATTATTATATATATATATGTATGCTTGTATATATGTTAATCACGAGAAACTTGTAGTTTAAGTGAAAATAAACGTTCTTCTCTTTCTTCTTTTTCTTAAAAGTGCTGGAAGTAACATTTGTACTATTGATAAATATCTTTATATCATTTCCATCCTTGTCATCTGATTAATACATGTATAAATCAGCTACAGGGTATTACTCATCGTGTATATGTATACACATCGATTATGCAGTTATTTATATTAATATATCATGTTTATAAGTAATTAAGCATGTTTATAAGTTAGATAGGCCATATCGCTGAGCTTCTTGTAACAAAACATAATCAAACCTAGCGCAACAGTTCTTATACAATTATATAACATATTCATCACCCACTTCATTAGCCTTGTAAGTAAATAAGTAAATACTTACTTATATTATGAGGGGTAATATATTCCATGTAATATTATGTAATATTATATAACTAGTGGTAATTAGAGTAGAGATTTACATTAAATAAAGCCAATGATATAAACATAATACGTAATAAGAACCTTGATCTAGATAATGTTTTAAACAGATTAGCTTTCACGTGTTTTCATATTCTTTGATTAAGCATGAAACATTTTCCCGATGATACAAAGCATTTACCAGTAACAATAAGCACTACTAGTTTTCATAGACTTCATTTGCAATACGAAGCTAAGTCTCCGGACGAAAATGAAAAACGAAAAATACATGGATAATATTGTTATGAAATATAACACAATTAACACATGTGCTGAAGCTTAATTTTGCCATGTTCCCTTGATTC